AAAGCGCGTTTTGTCACACGGTAGGAGCGCCGGAGACCTCAAGATAGACAGAACGGAGATTTTGGCGAGTGACACCCTGGGCCTCGCTTCCACGCCTCGTCGTCGTTTCGTTTACCGAAGGGTGCACAACATCTCCGCTCGGCATTGACTTGACGCGCGTTGCAGCCACCATGACGAAGAGGAACGGCTGCCCGGAATGCCACCGGGTTTGACTAATTACGGACAGGCGTGATGCACGTTGAGAATCTAACGCGCTACTATATTATTCGCGCACGCATCAAGCACGGATTAATAGTCACCGACGGGCACCGCGTGATCCGCCAGAAGCAACGACCTCGTACGACGTCCTCGGGCTCTCTGTCACACGACGACTTTGTCGCATCGATGCCTTCCACCTCGAGAACTGGAGATGCGGCGATAAATAAACGCACGATCAACTCCTGCTTTCTTCTACTTCCGAGCTGCAAAACGACACTGAGCGAGCGCTTCCAGCTCCAAGATATCGATCTCTTGGCAAAGTGTATACGCGTAGCTACCATCCGACGACGAATCGCGCGGGTTCGTCGGCCGGAAAATCGTTCCAGGATTGGATTTTCGCGCGCGCGCGAGCGAGAAGAGGTTGGATCGGAGGAAGAAGAGAGAGAGTAGAGTATGTGTGTATGAGAGAGAAACTGGGAGAGACACCCGACGCGGTGGAAGGGATTGATCTCTTCTCGAACCGCCGTGATCTCCTTGAAGCCTCAAGGCACGACTTTGGAACGGTCACGAGTACGCGCATCCGGAGCTACTTAATCACCTAATATTAATATCGCGGGCAGTGTACCGCGATTCACCTACACGCATACGCGCCCTCCAACGGCCTGTCCAGCTCGCCATATTTTTGGCAAGGTAGTGTGTAAAGCGCGAAGGCGAATCCGTCGCGTCCGTCATTTGACGCCTCCTGAACGCGTTGGTCAACCGTGGCGTATTACGCATAATTGAATTGCGTCGTCTCTTTATTTTCTAGAATATGTCGAGGGATAATACCATCATTTCGCAACGTCGCAACGTTGCAACACATTTCTCAATAACAACAGGAGCTTACATTGCCTGCTCTATTTTTTCATACAAACATGTATTTAATAAAAAAAAATATTAATATTTGTTTATTAGGTAATCTATTAGCGTTTTTAATACCACTAATGATTGAATTTGAAGCCCAATAATTTAATTATGAAACAGATAGCAAGATTTATCTTCACAAGTGATGTAAATTATTAAATTTATCGTTAAATTATCATAACTAATTGTATTTTTAACGAAAAATATTATTGTATATAGAAAGAATATTATAGTTTTTTTTAATATAAATCCTTTTCGCGACTTTACTATGCTCAATGCAGACTAAATAAGATATATAAACCACCAATACTACTAAATAACCAACTAACTAAATAACCAATAAATAAGATTGAGCAACGTGTTACTAGCTAGAATGAAGTTTCTTGCAAATGTATGACACATACTGTTTCGAATAATAAAAGTAATTTTTATTAATAAAATGATTGAAATCAAGCATATGGACGAATGAGGTAAAACTGGCCCATAATTAAGCACCAGCAAGAGAACTGTGGAGAGTGGCACGTGCATAGCACATTGTAGTACGCTCGTACATGAACATGAAGTCTGAACTGCAACTTGTGGAGCCAGGGGGAACGCTCTCCCTTTCACGCGCCATTCCTCTTCAGTCGTGATCATTCGGTTGGACATTAATGAAAGGAAAGCTCGAACTTTCCTATTGATGTATTTCTTCTGTGTTTACAAAAGGTGATACAAAGGACGCATTGTTTGTGATTTCGCGCCGCGACTTAGGCGCTTGCTTAGGCTCACGCATTGTAAACACATTAATATGATTTGAGAGCTTTCCTTTCATTGACGTCCAACCGAGTGATCACAACTGAAAATAAATAACGTGTATGGAAGCGGAAGTGTTCCCTCTGATCCCAGATTTTATGTTCTCTAACCTATCACCTGAAGTACATTTTAAGCGAATGTTTTTTTTATTTCCTCAATAACTTTTCCAAAATTTTAAAAAAATTTCAAATTTCCAAAAATCGCTGTCCGGAAGTTTGACCCAATGCAATGTTGGTAGCAGGACCTTTTTCTTGCACAGTGGAGCCAATTGTGAATACAAGAACGTGTTAACTCAAGCGTGTATCAGTGATGCACATGTAGTTGCATACTGAGAGAAATGATTCTATACAAAATTAACAGACGAATATTTCCGATCAAAATATCGATGAATTTTTGTATTCGATCAAGAAACATCCGATAAGAAATATAAGTTTACAAATTTTTGATCGGTTTATCTGATGAAACATTATTGTAATCGGAAGTATCCGATAAATTTTAAACGAATATCCTGATCGGATATAAAAATTGATTGAAATCTGACCGGAAATATCTGTGTTAATTTTTCATCAGATAATTTCTCTCAGTGCATATCCCTGGATGCACGTCATGCACGTGCTACATCCGTGTCGTGGATTTAACATCTCTCGACGGCGCGCTGGGCTAGGGAGTGACACGCAACATTGTAGCTGGGTCTTGGTCCCTGTCAAACGATTGCTTACACGTCGATATTTTCACATAGAAAAGTCGTAGAAACTTGGAATAAATTTCATTCAAAAGCTGAGACTATCCTGCTTCCATCAAGGAAACAGTCGTTTTCTTATATTATCGATTAATTTTTGTTATAGATTAATTTTGAGAGATTGATAGATTGATATCAACAGATAGATTGATAGATCAATTAATAGATTAAGAATAATTATAATTATAATATTAAATAACCTTGAGCTAAATGTAAACCTATGAGTATAAATCTGTTTTATGCAACTAAAATTTTATGCAACTTTGTTTTATGTAACTAAATAAAACTAAATAAAAAGAAAAAGTACGAAACTGCATTATATAAAAAAAAAATCGAATCTTATTATAGAGAATATGAAACTTCGTCTATTATAAGGGTGAGTTATAATTTAATTTTTATAAGCTGTTGCCTTTCTCACGATTGTGTTACAGATCTTGATCGCGTATGAGTATATCAAGATTATTATACAAAATAATCTTGTTATGAAATTGCTATACGTAATAATCTTGTATATTTTATATTATAAACTTATTACGATCCACGCGTGCGGATGATGGATTCTTGGCTAATGATTGACAGCCATAAATCGCTAATTCATTGTAACATTCAGCTGTTCTATGCTTAGCTATTACGTTTCTAACGTGTCCAATCAAATTGCGTTATTGAATCTTTAATTCGCCAATTCGATCCCGGTAGCTGTTAGCGCGGTAACGTATTGTCGGTCATCGATCACTTTCGCGAACGAACTGACAAGTCATCGAGTGTACACGCGAGTAGCAGTCGAGTGAAGCGCGACTGCGCAGTGTGCACGAGCGCATTTGATTAATGACGACGGATCCCTCGTTACAACGTCTATTGCGTGGACGTGAAAGATAACTTATAACACATCTCTTAATCAGAGCGGAAGGAGAACGTGTTTTATCCGGACGAAAATTTAAGAGCGCGCGAAACGAGCCCGAGTCCGTTGCGCACAGAGCTGAAGAATCCGTATCGTAAAGTCTCGAGAGCAATCAAGTTCAGCACACGTTGCAGTAAAATTCGAGATTTATCACTGCGCAGCGAGCTGGTCCGTTCCAGGCAACGCATGTGGCTGGGTATTGTCGTTAAACTAATAATAGAAAATGAATTGGTAATCGCGGAAGTGTCATAATACGTGGGTTTAAAGTTCGTTGAACATCCATGCGAGAAATGAGTTTATCGCTTAGTCTGTCAAACAATTATACATTAGAATGATATATTTTAAGTCATCCAAATATATAAAAAGTTGACGACAAGTAACTCGTTATATTAAAAAATATCTGTTTTAATGACACTCATCTCTCAGATTGCAGTTGAAAATCGTTATCTTGTTGTAAGATAAGACCATTTTTTATTGTATATCATCAACAAATAATCAAGTGAGAAAAACTAAAATCGAAATAGCCAAAGTTTCGCGCGAAGCACATTCCAAATTATTAACTCATACATACAGTTTAAAAAAAGAAAAAAATATAACAGGAAATACGTTGCAAAAAAACAGGAATACGTTGCATAAAAAATATATAAAAAAATAAGATGTGAAAACTTTTAATATTAAATATAAATCACTTTTGCTTAAGAATTATTGAATTTGACTGCCTATGGCGCGTAGAATACAATCTATAACTATCCATTATAGAGCAGCAGGTTTTTTACAATATTACGATCTAATAATAAATCAGACGAATTTTTTAATTCACTCGTCATCGATTGCCAGCTAGATTCGATTTAATTTCGAAGAATAACTTTTAACTTTATTACAGCTATGTCCTTCGTTCTACTTGTTATCTATAGTCTTAGTTGTAGTAGTATGAGACAATAATAAGTCGTACAGTGCGCGGTGTTATTCTTGTTACGCGTTGGGATTGAAATTGCGAAGTAAAATTCCATGAATCCAGTAACGTTAATGATATCTGTCAGAGTATAAGCATAAATTATAATCAAGTTGTTGATCGATAACGCAATGCCAACTGTTAGTATTTGATCGCGTAGCCAACACCACACCAATCATATGGCCTGCACTCAATACTTATCTTACATTGTCGCAATTCCATATTGATATCAGAATATCGGAATATAATCAATATAATTAAGCAATTTTGTTTTGTTTCGCGATAATCACATGTAAACTACCAGTCGCTCCGAAAGTATTCACAAAAAGATTATTATCCTTCAAGAAAGTTTTCTTCACCTTAATCATTTTCATGAAAATCTTTCCGAGAAACCTTCTTGAGAATTATATAATCTTAAAGTGTATATTTATATAATGTTCGGAAAATTTGCAATAGAATGAAATACTGTAAGAATTTAAAATTTTTAATTACGAATTAAAGAGAGAGATGATACTTACAGGTAACTGTGCCGCCAGCGAGAGGTAACGGGATAGAATTCAATCGGATGACGTTGAAGTTCTTCTTTGATAACTCCTGCTGGCTGCTACGTTTTGTAGTGACGGTGGAGCTCTCCTGTAAAGTGGTACTGCACTGCTCGACGACGTGTTGATTTTGCCTTTGCCGTAATTTACGAGCTCGTTGAGTTTTGTGCGTGTTATGCTCCCGATACTCCTCGGATGCCTGTAACGTCATGCGTACTTTTCTATTATCGTTCAACGAATAATCATAGTATTGACTTTAAAACAATTATCTATCATATGATATTTCTCACACTGCAACAAATGTCTCATCTGAGGTGTAATTTCGATATTCTGAATTCGAGCAATATTCGATAATAAAATACGCATTACTTTGCGAATTTCTTGGAGTAAAGTTTTTCTCGCTCAAAACAAGTGCAAAGTGGCAGTATTTTCACTCCAAGCGATAGTGAAAATACTGCCATTAAAAATGCCCACGAAGAGAATACTATAGAGAGAGTTTTCTTTCGTATATAATTTTTTTTAATTCTACTATCTTTAGCAGTCCAAAAATAGACTGTCACTAAGGTCTATCTTGCTAACGAAATTTCACTAGGAACATAGCAGATTTCGTTAAAAATATGACGAGTATTTTAATAGTATTTAATAAATAATTTGAATTCCTAAAATGTAAATAGTATATATGAAATATAAGAATAGTGAATTACGGCAGAATATCGATCTAAATTCCTTAGAAAATCGTATAGTTATTTTAATATAAAATTCTCTCTGTGCAAAAGTAAGTGTTTAACTCAAGTTTAGAGTGGACCCTGAGTGGATGTGAGTGGATGTTTCAGTCGATTAGAGTGTACATGTTCCTGCAACGGTGGAGCACATCATATTCGCTCTTCAATTTCGAACAAAAATATCCACTCGAAGATTGTGAGTGAAGATTCACTCAAATAACTCGATGATCACTCTACTTTTCTAGGAGTGAGTAAATTTCACGCCTAGAAATTTAGTGAATAGATGCGTCTACTGCGCAATTAATGTTTAAGGTAGCGCGTGCTTGTTTCGCATACACTTTTCTCATGAAATTGTGGGCTGAAGGATCGTGTTAATAAAAACATGTCTGGCTTGTGCGGGACGTAGACCGCTACAATACATCGCGAAATCGCATGATCGATAAGATATTTCGGTATTGGAGCGAAGCCAAGCATTAAAAAGAGCGTTTTCTCTTTCTTTTTTTTTCTTTCCCTACGGAACGTTAATAAAATTCTGACGAAATCTTCACGGAAAAGAGGAGAGCAGGAATTTCCGAAGTCGAGAGATGGTGTACGTTACACTTCATTACGATAGAATCTACGTATTTCGACGCTGGTCGCAAGCCAAAGTGCGATGCGTGTAAAGAATTTATTATGTAACCGCGGAATCATTGCAAAATCCTCGTCACGGGAAACCTGTGTCCGTCCACCTACATGGATTCGCGTTAAACTCTAATTTGCAATTACGATAACACTGTGTCTCATTTGTGTTTAACTGTAAGCCAAGTTACTTTCTTAAGAGTTCGCCTCAATGGACGTTACAACCACGATATTCTATCCAGCTCTCAAATCGAATTATAAAACCAAGCAACGTTCAGCTGCTAATATTAGCTTCGTCTAATTTCTTATGGAAATTGCAAATTTATAATTAATGCATTAACTGTAAACGTGTACTGTTAGAAAGACTTTAAACTTTATGTAAGATTTTAATTATCCGATTTATCAGCTCGCACAGAAAATTACTGTCTTTTTCTTTTCTAAGTATGTTTCGAAATATCATCATATTATATATTATATAATATAAGAAACATAAAACTACAAAATGTTTGTTCATATTTCTTTATCGTACGAGCCTATCGTACATCTTCATACCTGTCAAAATCTTATTTCTTCGAGCTGAAAAAATGCGCGAAACCCACTCAACGTAATGGACTAATGTGAATTCTATAAAACGCTGCTGTCAATTAGGACGCATAAAATATTACGCGAAGCGTGTTGATCATCCAGACGTAATATTACGGCTGAAACCAAAATTAGCTTTCGGGAGGGATACCGAACGTGCTATATAAATAGTAGCTATCATGGTGCAAAATGCGACGCGATGACATCAAAGCGATATCACCATAAAACTTCTATTTTCATTGCCGTGTTCCTGGGAAGGAACGTCAATCAATCCGTTCGCGATGAAGTCTTCTCTTGACATAAATTAAATACAAAATTTCGAATTTTATACGGCACAAAATTTATCTCTATCGAAACTGAAATTTTATCCCCTCTTATGCCTGATTGCATCAACATTACTTTGGCTTTAAGCGAAACTTAAATATCTGTCTGTCTTTAGTTATTTAGAAAGTAAAATGAACATAGATACAAGTCTCGTTTAAAACCAAAATAATGTCGGTGTAACTAAGCATAAATCATGATTTTATAAACCCGCATAGAAGTTTCCCAAAATTCATTCAGATACGGCATCGATTTCAATTAGAGCGCCCAAATTGATCTCAAAACTGGTTGCTCCATTACGATACCAATTGGGGACCTTATTCTTGCCTCAAAAACATGAGTTCTCTATCCAGAAACGAAACAGAAATACTATGGGAACTTGCGCTTTTTTCAGTCGGTAATGTCGATATACTTGGGATCAAACAGGGAATCCCATTTTTATATTAACACTATTGTATTCAATAAAAAATAGAAAATATAACATTTGTAAAATACTTTAAGTATTTGACTGAAGAATAAAATTATTTGAGAAGTCGACATAATTTATATTCAATTAACATAAAATGAAGACCAGAAAAAATATCGAAAGAACTTCGGATTTCCCCTTAAAATCGTATATTTGAAACATTACACTTCTAACCACAACTCATAATTATTTTGAGAAATCAAACAGGATCCCAATTAGATCCTAAGAAATTTTCTATGCGGGGAGCTTTGGATCGATCGAATTAAAAGCAACTACCCTGCTCTATTCTAATTGCTAATCTATCAAGAATCATTTGCAAGTAATCATTTGCAACCTTTAATGAACTTCACGTATCAATGCATTGATAGACACAATCTGCTTTATCTTCTTTGTCTTCTCTTTAGACTTCGTTAATGAAGATATCCAAGAAGAGAGGTAGAGAAAGAGAGTCAAAGGAACACGGATGGCCAAGTGCTTTAGAGAATCATCTTCTGAGATTCACTTGATCGCTAAAGAGGTAGAGTAAAACGACTGTCGTAAGGTAAAACATTATTCTGCTAATTAGCCCGCTGAAATCCAGTGTTGTCTCTTATTCTATCAGTAGCCATCATGATGATCACTCATGTCACTCACTCAGTCCGCGGACCGTCACATGCGCCACATTCTAAGCCTGCCGGGGAGTCCGCGAGCCGTTTGTCTCACCACGAGTGGTTGTTTGATTGACTGATTGCGTATTCTCGCGTACCTGACACCAGCTGTCACACTCGGGCTTCACCAATTTACACGGTAACGCCCAGCTACGTCGGTGGTCGACACGAAACTCGCGCCTCGCTGGTATCCAACCGGTAATTCTGGGCACAATGCTGAATTTGATGTACCATAATAGATACCCAGCCCCCACTCGTCGACATTACAAAAGGATTAAGGACACAATGCGCGATGAGAATACTAGGCTATACCGATTGACATTAAGGCGAGTCTCCTGCTTTGATCGTCTGAGAACGTGACAGCCGCTGAAGCTCATTGTTAATATCATTGAACAATCGGGAATCGATCTCCGAATGACTCGTCCTGGACTTTTGAATGACTTTTCACGTATCATCGTATGATTAGGTATGTAGGAATCAAAAGCTTTGCTCTCTTCATTGCTGTGTAGGCCGCGACATCCTAAATGTACAACAAATACGCACCAGAAGCTCAAGCACGCGATCCAGAAAGATAGGAAATTTGGATAAGGCTCAAATATGATGTTATATGTTTTGTTTACGACCAGTTCAGCTATATTAAACTGACATTAAAGTGAGGGACTCACAATCCCCTTAATACCCTATGAAGCTCGTGCGATTATTTATGCGAATTTTGCGAAATCCACGCCGACGTATGCCACTGTATTTTTTCGAATCATTATATATGTGTATGTGTGTGTGTGTGTGTATAAATTGTTTAAAAGCCACATAGAAGATATGAAATCACACAACGTGGTTATCTGCAATCAATTTGTTATAATATTTACTGACGTGCTTGCAACATATCCGTATGTGTATATGTGTATCGCAACCACGTCAGTAGTGACAAATATTATAGCAAATTACCACATTATCACGTAATCACGTTGTGTGATTTCACGACATCTGCTTGTGTATTTTCTTTGGACAATTCTTCTCTTCTTCCCGACAAGATCGGTCTCTTCTCAGTAAGAGATATAATTTCTCCTCGGCGTAAGAAATAGCTAGAGGTACGAAGAATTTCTGGCTATATGGAATTGGAAATTGTACGGAGGTGTCAGCACGTGAGTCGTTTCTAAAATCGATCGATCGGGGATGGATTTCCGAAATCTCGATTTTGTGGGAGAAGAGCGGAAGAATACGGCGGGCGTGTCGGCGCGGACCGACCAGAGGAATGTGTCGCACAAAGTCGCCGTTGTGAATCGTGGCGCGGGGTTTAATTTAACTCGCGGTATTAATTCACTCCCTCGTCTCCCTCGGCCACCCACTCCGGTTCCTGCTTATAAATTTGGGAAAGCCTGACTCGCACTCGAAATAGTCTAGGAGCTCTCGGCGGAGGATGGACGGCGACGACGCTCGTATTGGATTTCAAAATGGACCATAGCCTTAACATCGAGAATACAATTCACCGCTTTTTTATAGGATTGGGACGTTTAGTAGACAATAGAGTGATCATCGAGCATGCGGCGAGTACGCCGGGATTATTATTTATGCGCGACTGTCGCGATGAATTACGACGTGTGACCGAATCCGCCTTTCTACTCGCGCTAAAATTGATTTGACGTAGAACGATATTATTCTGGTTGCCTTTCTAAAATTTTCCATTCTTTCCTCTGTCGATTTAAGTCGCAGAATTTACAAGTATAGAAAAATTTTATTTCCACTTCTCTGCACGGAACAAAAATGTTTGGTTGGATTGACTAGGTTTCTGGTGAAATATGAACAAATCACACTTTCCGGCTGAAGTTATCAAAATTCTGTTCAAGTTAACAAAATTTTTGGTAACCACCAGAAACTTGATTAATTCAATCAAACGTTTATCCCGTGTGCTCATTCTGGAGTATTACCAGATTATTCCTTTTTGTCTCTCAGATGTGACAGAATAGAGAAGAAGAAAGATCCGAAATTAAATTAAATTATAAATACATAAGACATGACTTGAAAACCGTATAATAACAAATTATAATTTCTCGTAGACGTGTTTCCAACACTGCCAACGCAACTTTTCAGTTTGTTTTGGCAAAATATAGCTTACTCGTAATGTCACGTGAAATCAAAAATAGCGCAAACGCCTTAATGCGCCAGCAAAAGCAGGCCGCGCGATTATCGAAACAATAACAACTGTCCTCAAGCAATCGGGAGGTTTAATCGGGAAGTTTAACTAATTAAGCAGCCGCCGCAAAACGACGATGCGGCCGCGCGAATGTGCGAGCGTTTATATCACCGGCTAGCCCTAATTTGTCGCGCTTTACTTTGCGACGGAGCGGTCTACTTGCGAGATGAAGCGAATCAAAGACATTAAAATTCAAAAGACAAGGTACAAAGTAAAATAATAAATAGGAAGGTAAAAAAAATGGCTTTCCGTGACATTTTGTACACGAAGGACAGAACATCTGTTAGTTATTCTCTACTGGTAATCAGTGAAAAAAGGCGTGCGGGCAGGGCGATGTCTGACCAAAGTTGCCTCGTTCCACTGACGGGACATCAATTCCGGGTTAACGACCGACCGATTTATGAGATAACAATCATGCAACTTAAGGTCGTAGACTACGAAGTACTCATGTACAGGCAAAAAGGGGAGGTTTCGAAGGTTCAAAAAGTCAGAAACGTCCAGTTTCCCGCAGCCTCACACGAGTACGCAAACACAGTAGCATATCGTGTGGGTTAACAGAAAAATTCCTCATAGCTTTTAGCGTCCACTTTTAGCAGTTTAAGACGCGCGGCGATCCAGCACTTGCGATAAGAAGCACTCTGGACCATTTGATGACAGAGAGGCACTCGCACGTGTGCACGTGTGCACACATACAAAAACACACACACACCCTCGTACACATGTAACTAGGAAAGTCCATGCATTTGAAGTGGGGGAGAAGAAAGAGAGTTACTGAACGAAAGAGAGAGTGTGTGTATGTGTGTGAGACAGACAAAGAGAAAGAGAGAGAGAGAGAGAGAGAGAAGTGTGTGGACGTTACTTGAAGCGGAAATTGTGTTACAGCGCGACGGGGTCCACGTGACAGCGAGGATTCGTGCGATAACAAGAGTCAGCGGATGCGGTCTCGATGAGCCTTCGCAGTGGACTGTTTCGCTGGAGGCTACGCGACAATATCCTGCACTACGTGTTGCCTCTATAGTTAGATACACCTCGCGCCCCACCCACCCGGGTCTCGTTGACGATGACGGCGGGTATCCGAATCGACATCGGCAAGATGATCGCATATGTTGCTCGATCATACCTTCTCGTTACGATATTCGCATCGTACCCTTTGTCCCGCGATTCCTCAAAGCGAAATAACGGTGTCCACAGGCCGCATTACTCTGCGAGAGTGTATCGAACCGTTCCGCTCGGACGATTTTGTTAATCGGACTGAATGCTTGAGTTACAAATAGTCAGCTGATTAAAAGTCAACAAGTGGTTCCGCAAGTTAGAAATTGCCTTCAAATTCGCGACGACAATCTGTAAATATTCTTGATACGTAGACTTTTATCTACACTCTAGGGTGAGATAAAGGCAGCGTCGTAATTTTTAGGGTGTCTAGTGTCTCATACACATACACACACTCTCTTTCGTTCAGTAACTCTCTTTCTTCTCCCCCACTTCAAATGCATGGACTTTCCTAGTTACATGTGTACGAGAGTGTGTGTGTGTTTTTGTATGTGTGCACACGTGCACACGTGCGAGTGCCTCTCTGTCATCAAATGGTCCAGAGTGCTTCTTATCGCAAGTGCTGGATCGCCGCGCGTCTTAAACTGCTAAAAGTGGACACTAAAAGCTATGAGGAATTTTTCTGTTAACCCACACGATATGCTACTGTGTTTGCGTACTCGTGTGAGGCTGCGGGAAACTGGACGTTCATGACATGATATAAATCGAAGCAGGTAGATCAGATAAAATTGAACAGAGAGAAAGAGAGAGAGAATTCCTTTGCCATTTTTTAAAACAAAATTTTGAGATATTAATGAAAAAAAATTGGCAAACTAGTGCGTGCGATGTCGCCGAATAAGATCTGTTTAATTGAAAATGATTGAGGTACGACTGCCTCGTAACAACAGTGACTATCGGCTGACAGCTGAAGACAGAGTGACGATGTGAGTGATATGTGGACTATTATTTCTCATCTTAAATGTGCTATACGCCTGTCGCTGAGAAACAGTGTTTCAGTCATTTTCGACGAGAACTCGACAGAGATCTTAGCAGAGATCTTACAAAGCTTGTCCCGCAACATCGTACGCTCTGCTTTGTCAATCTCTTTTCATAATATCTCGAAATTTTACTGTTTAGTAGTTTGATAGAGAAATCTTTTCTGCAGTTTGATATTACATACTCAAAAAAGTGATCTCGCAGTTATAGCAAAAATTATCTAAATACGAGAAATAAATTAGTTAAGATGGATAAATAATTACCAAACACTACGATATCGCATACGTTTTGTACTTCATCAATAGGAAATAGAGACGGAATTTTTGGCCCATTAATGAAATTTAGCAGGAAAGTCTCAATATGGCGCCTATCCAGATTAAGATTAGTTACACTTCTTGTAAGAATTGACTATAGTAGATACAAAAGACTAGTGACGAGAAACGAATGTATAATCTTTACATTCACCTAAACTTATTTGCAGATATTGCTAGAATGCTGTTATAAATTCTACGTACCACGGACAATTTTATTACAGAATCTATTATTGTAAAACTGTTTTCTTTTTTTTTTTATCGGAAGGAAGATAATCCTAAAATATTCTATAGTAGATCTTTGTCTGTAAGATGTGATATCTGTCTAATTTAAATTTTACAGTTATTTATGAGACTGTGTATGACAGGATTGATAACATGAAATATGTATAATGCGTTTGCCCTCAACAGAGTAAGAAGAGAACTTTATAATGCTATCGAATGACACGTGACGTCTTCATTAGAGTACGCTTCACGGTCTAATTTCATGTAATTATTGTGCATCTCCCCGTGGATAGACTCGGTACACTTAACCGGGACATTTAACGATATAAATACACAAGGAAATTCGAGTCTTATGAGCCATTCGTAAGACGGATATATCTTGGATATGAAACGGCGATTGATACCGATTCGTAACTGAAATTTCTGTACTTTAATTAAAAGCAAGTGTAAATAAATTTTATCGAAACAACCCGCGTTACTATCATTAAAAAATTAATTATACTTTATATAAATTAATAATATTTTGAAATCCTCTTCATTTAAGGGGACGTTGAAGTCGGAATCTTTGCCAACAAAATACTATCTTTTTCTCCAAAGTTTACGTTGTATTAGCTGCGCCTACTTAAAAATACTCATACACGATAAGAACTCGTATAAAAATTTATTGCTTAATATACAAAATTGCTCAATATAACAAAAATGATTAAAATGATTAAAAATTTCAAAGTTGACATTTTCAGTGTAAATTAACCTGTCAGACGCTGTCAGTTATATAAAATAAATTTGTATCTGATACAAAAGTTCTGTAACTTATATACATATACTAAACGCGAGTTTGCTCTATGTAAAAAATTTTAAAGAGCATTTCTGTACTTTTACATCTGAATTTAGAAGCTCAAAAATATTAAAAAAGCTTATAAAAAATCTCAATAAATAGAGGGTGTTTCAAAAGTGGAATCGCTCGGGAAGTGATTGGAGAGCCAAAAACAAGAAAAAAAATTGGCCCGAAACATAAACATACAAACATAGATCCAAAAATGCATTGTTCTTAAACTATCACCATTTTTATGTTGAAATTTCGAATTACTTTGCTATCGAACTTTTTTGTCAAAATCGAAAAAAAGAGATAGTTTTTAAAAGTTTTATGACATAATTAAAGTCAAATGAAAGTTACGGGTTACTTTAACACTACCCAGGATATATCACATGGAGGTACAGTCCCCGCTTAGTATCAAACAAAAAAATGCTAAACTTTAACGATAACTCAAAAACAACGCGGAAATAATCTATGTTTAAATTAACTTTTTTTCTTCTTTTTAAATCCTCAATCACCTCCCAAGAGATTGATCTTCACTTTCGAAACTGTCTGTATATATGGTGGTTAACTTTTCCGCTAAATATGTTAAAACAAAACAATACATATTCACGTAAGATCTATGAACAAGGAATATGAAAAAGATCGTGTTAGCTACAATGATCTCTACGTTATCGATATTTTTAAAGTTCTTCATCGAAGAATCACAGCATCCTCTTAAAGAGCTTAAATTTCGTAAATTAGATATAGAAGTTTTTAAAGAATATCAAGGACACTTAATTTTTTGCGATGATGGAGATTATTTTTAAGCTTCTATATGATGCAAAGAAAGATTGCACATAGTATTGAGACGTGAAGGTGTTACTCACCGTGAAAGTGTAGAATCCATCGGGCACCGGTTGACCGCCAAACTTGATGCTGAGGGTGTAATCTCCCGCATCGGCGACAGTGTAGTAAATGTTAACCGTGCCATCGCCGTTGTCTTCTATGTCAATGTCAACGACTTCGCTGAAATTACAGAGCGACATGTATTATTCACGATTAAAATATAGAACGCGGGGATCCATTCACGAAATTTTCGAGCAGTTTCTCAAAACGCCACTGCGACTCCGTCCGATTCAATTCAGTTCGAAAAGCTACGCAAATGACGTACACAAGTGACGAAAATGTATTTAAATATATTTCGAATATTTATTTCCATAATTAAGAGCGAATACTTCGCTCTTAATTACGAAAATTTAAATGTCAAAGCTTTCTGAACATTGGATCCCTCAAAGTTCTTAAAACATCTTGCTAGAGAATCTCTATAGTTTTCCTAAAGAATTTATAGAGGCGTATTATTTGTATGAAAGAGACAAGTTTTTTGTCACTTGAATCTTGAGCAATAACGCTAAAAAAAATAAGAAGATAACAAAAGGGAAAGTCTAGTGACATAACGTAACATGTGATACCATCTCGCGTTTTGCAATATAAGACATAAACAATTATCCATCACAGGACACGGTGTCAGCCTCGGCATATGAAAAGTAATTCGGATATTTGTTATTACAGCGGGCATCAGACGTAACGTGGCGTCTTGTCACCGGCTGGGTAAAAAATTTGGCTTGTCCCTAAGCGAGTCTTCCCGACAGTAGACACTCACTGCCAACTCGAACAACGCACGATGAATTATGAGGCGGCAGCTGCGCGCCACTGTCAGCATCAAAACGCGCTCATAGTCGATTCGATTAAAACTGTAGCTGTAATCTATTGGGCAGCAACGTGGATAACTTGGTTACGCGTGGCTACACGATGTACAGATGAGTTTGGAGAAGCGCTACTACACTCTAGAAATCCCGAAATATTCGCGAAGGACATAATCGTATGCGTACACGTGACGCGATGCCGGCGCCGTTCCCATCTCTACTTCGCGACCAGCAAACTTTATAACGAGAAATATGAAATACGGTGACGAGTCGCGACGTGGTTATTTCCTCTCTTTCTCGCTTCGAGATGCTTTCTCGCTCAACTTTGCCGCTGCGATGACGATCAACTTGCGCCGCATGGTCGTCCCCTTACGGACTTTCACCCCAATAAATTTCTCTTCGCTGTACTCATGTTAATGTAAATGTACTCTGTAAATGTAATGCAAAATTAAGGGTGATACTTCAATGCTCTTCTCATTGTGCTAGAAAGTTTCAATCAGAAAATTCGATGTCTGCACAGTTGTGGGTCAGTGGCGGTTTAAATTTGAGTCGAACTCAATTCAGCCGTTGTTACGAAACAGATGGGCATACAAGTCGTCGTGGCGAATGGGAAATCTCAACGGCGCAATTCCAAAAGAAAGGACAGAGAATAACGTGATCTATCGCTTGGCATGGGCTTTGACAATAAGAGCAATACGCCATTGTAAGCTGATCTCCTACTGATCGTAAGCTAGTCTCCAATTTAATTGCCAGCGAGTAGCGGTGTGATACGATATAAATCTGTATCAAATTGTATCACGCGCTTACGTTCTTTGATGAGCTCTCTGAGCTGTGTAATGTTGCAACATAATAAATTTAAGCGACACTTCAGTCTGCTTTTCATTTGTGCCACCTTTAAAATAAACAGTTCGTATAATAATGAAAATATAATAATAAATATAATAATAATAATGAAAATATGATATAATAATAATTGAGGATAAAATTTCAATAAACCAAATAAACAATAATATATACAGATTGTTTAAAAAATCGATTGGTGATACTGATCTTTGCACACTGATGCATCAATAAATGCAAAATATAACAAAATTTTTTTTAAAGTCCTTCTGTATTTTTTTATAACAATCGATTTTAGTTATCATTTTTTAGAAAAGTATTAAGGTGAGGCTATCGAAAAGTGAATATTTCCCGAGATATTTCACTGAAAAGTACCATGTTTATCTCATGTCTTATACTGGAAAGTATCAGGATATAAAAATATTTAAAATAATATATATATATCTTAGAAAGCATTCACAACTTTCAATGATTTTATTCCAATACTTTTGTACGCAGAATCACTTTAGAAATCAATTTGTGTTAAAAACCATCTTGTATGATATCATTAAAAGTATCCAAACTGACTTTGAACTGGCTTTGGCGCGTATATCACAAGATCAAACAAAAGGATTGTTATATGTCCCTCTTGAAACCTTAAAACTTTTATCTAAAACATTATTTTATAAAATAAATATTTAATTTAACAAAACTCTAAAAATCTAAAACAACAAATAATCTAACAATAAATTTAAAAACAAATCTAGAAAATAAATATTTCGTAAAATAAATATTCAATAAATTATTTGTAAAACTCTCTCTATTCAAAAAATTAGATAATCCCGGCACTTTTCGAACATTCTATATATAAGGAACATAGGAATATCTCGTATTCAGCATACTAGTATATATATGATTCGTATCTTTCTCACAAGACAAATGTTGCAAAAAGAAATCTTTTTTTAAAGAATTGCTTAATATTACAGGGATATTATTATCATCCACAGAAGTAATTATACTTGTTAGGTTCTCTTCGTCGACGCTAAGCTTCGTAGAAGAGGATGCTGAAGTCAATGACAATTTCGAAAAATATTGATAACGTAGAGACGATTATCGCTAACACAATCACGCTATCCTTTTCGTATTTTTTGAATATCTTGATACTTCTCGAATATATAATATTACGTTTGTTAATTTTTTATCGGATAATTTCTCTCAGTGTATACTAACTAACAGCTTGAGATTTTAAATTAAATTTATTTTTTTCGTTTTCATCACATATTGAACAATGCTTCTATTTATTTTTTGCTCCTGTTTATTATTACTCTTCTATTTATTTTCTGCTCCTATTTATTATTACGTATTGTATAAAAGCATTTGTAATTCTGTACAACTAATACGACGCAAATTTTTCAAAAAAATGTCAGTATTCTGTCAGTAAAGTTTTCAGCATCCCCTTAAAGCTACACATGCGCATCACGTATCGTCAGATTAAATCAAACCGACGTTTAATTTCAATGTTGCAATGCGGTAATCGACATGGATATTGCGTACGGTCGACCGGAGATCCGCGACGAGGCGCAAACGTGTTACCACCTCGTACATGACGTTCGTAATGGCAACGTGCCATGATCCTGAATACTCCCGGATTTGTTACACGATTTACGGCCGACTAGTCATTAACGCCTTTACACCGCGACTGATAATCCTAATGTACGGTTATTGAACGCCCTCGCAAAAACACGCTGCTCCAAATAGTTTAGTCGTAATGAATTGGCCGATTTGTCACCTTCGTCAGTGATCTGATCGCAAGTGACGAGACACGGAGAAATTCGAATACATTGATTGCACTGAAAAGATAGCCTGTGATAGCTCACAGTGAGAAATTACGAGTGGGAGAACACAATATGAGATATTTAAATATTATTATCACCACAGATTATCGGTTGCGCGTAATCATGCATAATCATACTATACATAAAGAAAAGTAAAATAATAGTTTTATAGTAATTTATGTGCCTAAAATAGGAGAGTAGCAGTATGAAAGGAGGATCCTATTCACCTATGAATTAAAAATAAATGTCGAGGCCGCGCGACAGAGTGTCTTATTTAAAATAAGACGGAATGTTTGTCTGGAACCTCTCGTGTGTGAGAGAAATGCGATAAAAATATGAACTCTCCTCGTATGTTTCTAATATGTACGATGTTTCTAATATCAGTCGAGCCGAATGAAGCCAGTTAAATCGAAAAATAATGAAATAATCGAAGGAATATTAAGCGGAGGACAAGCAACATTAGAATCATCAGGACAATTCTCGGGACGAATAATATTCCACAAGACGAACACGTCGGTGTGTTGAGCTAAAAATTTAATTTAAACACGAAACAGTTCCCAGAAATTATGCAATACCGTGCAATGCCTCTTTTTTTTTTTATAAAAAGAGGAAAATCTCTTATGCAAATATCCTGGTCATAAATAAATAGGTGGCAGGTGGAAGACGAAAGGAATGTAGAAAAGATATTTGCGTCACGTACAACACGATACTACGTGTGTAGTGGTGTCCCAAAGCGAAGATTTAAAAATAACGTAACGACAATCGCGAGGATGAATCTCGATGTTTCTTCCTCGATGTGTCTCCGCTCTCTGATTCACCTCTTCCGAAATAACTGGACTTAAATCAGGGCAGATCAGCGCTTACCTGCCGGAAGTGGAGCGGATGCGACAGGTCACTGCACCGCGGCCCGCATTCTCGGTGTCCACGGTGATGCAGTACTCCTCGCCCTGAGCCAAAGTGTGCTGAATGCCCTCTTTGATCTTGCACTGGTCTGCCTTGCCGGTGGAGACGCTCTGCACGTTCACCGGACTGCCTGGTACCTCCTTGCCGCCGTATTTCACGTTGACCTTGTAGCGGCCGCAATCGTCCGGCAGGTAGGTGGCCTTGTATTTGCCGTCGCCAAGATCCTGCACCTCCACTCTGCGCGGCACCTGATCCGGTCCCTGAAAGCGATACAGAAAGATATTAATAAAGATATTAATAAAGATAAGATCGGCCGTGATCACCCGCGCGGTTTCTCTTGGTCATTCGATCGCCCGAGCGAGCCGCTCGACAGCTGATACGTCCCTATGCCGCAGCACCGCTGGTCCAATCTGTTTTGATAAATATCACTCCCACCTATCGATCTAAATTAGGTGCCGATTGTGTAATGATAAATATGAACGCCCGTCGTAGAGTGATTTGGCGAGCAAACGCGCATCCTGACACGTACAGCTGATATTTTGGATAACTTCAAAGACCCAGGGTGACAGATCAAACGCTTCAATCGTCTCGGTGAAAATCGAACCACGTCAGTTCTAAAGCAGCGTGTAAACCGTTGTTTCATAATAACCGCTGTGTAATCATAACGCTAATCATAGCCATGTAATTATGACGCTCACATGAAAGTACTCGAGAGAAAAAGTATTATATATAATTACATATTATGAGTGCGTATGATTATATACGTATATATATATGACTCACATGCAAAATTCGGCGCGATATGATCATATGATTACATATACTGAGAGAAAAAATATCTAAAAATACATATATATATATATATATATATATATATATATATATATATTTCTTTTAATTTTATATGCTGAGAAAAAAATATTTTTCAAACAAGAAAATATACATTTTCTTAAAACTTTAGTTTTCCATGAGAGTAATTATTTATTCTATTTAAATTAAAAAACATATTTAAATAAATATGTTATCAGTATCCACTTCGAATAAATATTTTTTTTTATTTTTTAGAAATTCCTTCTCTCAATATATAATCATATATAATTATACATAATTGCAGTATATAATCATATATAATATATCCATTTACGGCAAAAGAGAATGTTTTTAATGAAAAAATAAAAAAATAGGTTTATTTAATTAAACGTCGACATCATAGGCTACCTCAAACATAAGCATTCGCTTTAATTGTACTTATACAGCAGCATTTTTTCAGTGTATAAACATATATGTCGAATGATATATGTTTATATATCACCATATTGCGCCAAATTTCACATATGATCCTTTTTTCTAATAATTAAAAATAGAATTCATTTGAAGCGCTTTGGGGCGCGTAAAGAAAGATTATGGTTCATATAGCGCTTCGAAGCATTTGTAGCGTCAAATGAATCATATCCAAGATCTAAAACCAGATAAATCAGCGCGAAAAGAACGGGACACCGTCGATACAAAACGAACTCACCAGAACTTGGACCTCCAGGTCGCCGTATCCGGCCTGAGAAGTGTCCACAACGAAGTCAACGGGAAAGGAAGCGGTACACACGGGCGACACGCCTGGACCTGACAGGACCACCTTGCTGGGCTCCACGGTGGGCGAAACCTTCAACTTGTATGGACTACCCTTGATATCCTCGCCGCCGTAGGTCACACCGACCTGCACGTTGCTGCCTGCCGGCGGCGGCTGGTACGTCACCTCGTAGAGGCCGTCACCTCTGCTCTTGATCTGCGGCTTCTGCATTTGTCCCTTGTCCGTCTTTAACCTGACGTCCAGCGACGCCGCCGACCTGCACGCGGACGTATCCACCGTGAACTTGGCAGGCACGCCTTCGCGAACCATCTCCGGTTCCAGACCGAGTCCGTAAGCGGCCACGTTCTTCGCTTCTGAATCCGACACCACTTGCACCTTGAAAGGCGAGCCGGGTATGTGTTGCTCAGCAAACTTGATGCTGATCTCGTAGTCCCCGGGTTCCGTGGGGACGTACTCCACGGTGCAGGAGCCGTCGTAGTTGTCCTTGCCGTCCACTTTGGCCTCGCCGTTACCCGCGATAGCCAAACCCAAGCCGCCATTGCCAGCCTCTGAGAAAGAAGGAATCATGAGCACGTTTCACGTCATTTCCTTTCCGTTTCCTCCACTTAATTTTTTAAGTCCCAATGTACATAATTATGTACATTCATTTTGTGTACATCCTCTTCAAATGTTTTATATTAACAAAGTAATGAGAGATTCCATCGATATAATACTATCGATCCATCCAAGATGGAGCTATATTCTTCACCCCAAACATATGCAACAGTGATTTTCCCTTTGAAGGAATCAATGTAGCAATCGTATACAAAATATATCGAGTTAGGACTTGAAACTGTGTGATTTTTCACGTAAAAAAAGCAAGCAGATTTTATTTCTTCTATTGCTTAAGGATACTATCTTAAAGTACAAGATTGATGCTTTTATGTTCTTTATCATAGTTACGAGATTTATTAAATTCTATCATGAGGTACATGTGCGAACACATAAATGTACATAATTATGTACAACCAGAAAATCGTATGTCCCGACGGCCAATTTTATTCGAACCACAAAACTCTTCATCAAAAGCGTCTTTTAAGACAATTTTATGAAGAAAACCGTTTTGCTCAAATGGGATCGATGTCTGGGACTTAAAGAGTCAATATTATCAGATTGAGATACATTGATTCGAATGAGTTACCTTTAGTCTCCACCGTGAAACGATTTATCTTGTTCACGATGCCTTTCTCCAAGCCTGGACCGTACGCGCGACACTTGCTCGGGTCGGAACCACGTTTCACGTTTACGGAAAACGGCGAGCCTGGGATGGGCACGTTGTCGTAGAGTATGTCAATGGTGTGGCAGCCCTCTTCGAAGGGCGTGTAGCTGACACGATAAGTGCCATCGCCTTGGGCGATAATGAGCTTCTCGGTTTTCCCTCCGCTGGGGTTGTTTATCGTGCAAGACACTTTACCATCGTCAGTCTTTGACTTGGCGATCGCCCTCGTGTCTATCGTGAACTCCGCCTGTTGATTCACATTCAAACCTGAAAGACAGGACAATAAAATTGTGGTTAGATAAAAATACTTCAGTGTTTCTCTCAGCAAATACAGTCAATGTGCACACTCGGAACAAAAGTTTTGCACTCTCATAGAATTTTCACATCACTTGTGTTTTCTTACGTTGAAAATTTTAAATTTCCCGTGGAGTTTGAGAAAGTGTCTTTATGAAATTGTAATGATATTATAGTGAGCGTGTGTGTAAATTTTTATGATAAATAAATATGCAAAGATACAGTCTTACAATTATTTAAATCCACTATGTAAATTAACATACACCTAACCTATTATCTACGATGAACCAATTACTTGACTAATCTACCGTTTTAAACGAATATCACGTAACTTCGAAAATTAAAAGTTATTTGCTAAAATGACAATGCACAAACGCGCAGGCTACAGTGGAAAAAATAAATGAAATATAATCGCAGTCTCCAAATGGTTAATGATTAGAATCACGCTGAAAAAATATTAAGATGTCTACAAATATTATTTGAAACATTGCTTCAATCATGAAGCAAATTAAAAAGGAGGACATAATCGCAATATGGTAATCCATTCACAAACTTAAAGGTTTCGTGCATATTTTATAAGCATATCATCTCTAGTAAGGAAGACCGGGTCTAATTAGCCTAAGAAGCAAATGAATTTAAATATTTATCGTGAGAGAAACAGTGGGAAACGAAATCGCAAAATGTTTCACAGAATTAAAACACAGATACTTTTATCTGAGTTCCATGAAAATAAGAGTAATATTGCTATTAATAGTAGAAAAAAACTGATTTAAGAACAACCAAGTACGTTTTCGAGCATTTCAAAATTTAGACTTAATATTCTTTATCGTGAATGAATAAACTTAACTGATAGTTAAAATGAAGTTTCCTGCAAGTGTACGATACTCTATTTGAGGCAATAAAAGCAATTCGTTCACAAAAATGATTGAAATCGAGAGGATAAACAAAGTAAAGTTGTCCATTATTGAAAAGCCGACAAAATTATGGAGAGCCAGAAAACTAATTAAGATATACATTTCATATGTCACTTTCTTATTAACAGCTAACTTGACCTGATATCAGGACAAGATGGTCACATGCTAACTTCAGTTATCGCAAAAAAAAATATAAGGCTTACAGGATTTTGCAGATATGAAAGAAAAAAGTTGTCCTTATCATGTTTGTACAGTCAATTAGTCGTCTGAAAAGTTATAACTCCAAAATTCTGAAAAATATGCCATCTGAGCCCAGTCTCCCCTATTCTTCAAGTACGTTTAAACGCTTTATAATGGAAAAGTATGCTTATAAAAATAACAATGACCAGAAAATTTAAAGCTGCTGTGGTAAAACAATCGAAAAAGGAAAAGATCGCAATCGCAAAACGCATGCTGTGTACACACACGTACATCGTACTTCGACGCGTCTCAGAGTGATCTCTCTCCGGGATTTTAATCTATTCATCAACGGGCACGTGTGTGAAATCATCCATCGACAAGAACTTTACTTCGACTTGAAGGCATAAATATTCCTCAGATATAAAAAAATGCATGCAACTTATGTGTCTAAAAAAAAAAAAGAAAAGGAAAGAGGACGTTTTATAAAATTCAGTTTTCGTACACGAGAGAGTCGCTAACACGCATTCTTCCAATTAATAATTCTGGGATAATTCCAATTATCTCGAGGACCGACGAGTGGTCGCTCAAGTAGCCCCAAGTGTGAGATCCGGAGACGCGTTGAGAGACTGGTCGCGCAAGGTCAGAAGGTCAGCAAGGCCACAGCACTCGGAATCAGCTTCGAATCGCGACAAGCGATCTCCGTGCTGACGTCCATCGTGTACCGTGTGGCTGGATGCCGTTGCCGCTGACTTTGATCTTCGAGAGGTCCGCGTCTGGCACCACGATGGCCTGAAACGGCGAGCCTGGCACGTGCTGCTCGTTGAAGGTGATGTTGATGCCGTAGTCGCCGGTTTCGGTGGGCAGGTAGGCGACGGAGCAGGTGCCGTCGCCGTTGTCCCTGCAGTTGATCGCAGCTTCGCAGGGACCCTCGACGGTCACACCGAGACCACCCTGGCCGGCGCCGCGTGTATCGATCACGAATTCGGCCGGTTTGTTCACCACGCCGCGAGAGAGACCTGGACCAGACGCTCGCACCTTGCCCGGGTCGGAGCCGTGGACGCAGGTGAGACGGTAGGGCTGACTCGAGATCGGCTCGCCGCCGAAGCTGATGCCCAACAGATACTCGCCCAGCTCGGTGGGGGTGAAGTTCACCAGGTAGCCCTCGTGGGTCGGCAGCACGTGCGCCTTGACCCGGTTGCCAGACGGGGCTGTGATCGCCACCTGGAAGTCCGCCGCCTTGCCCGCTTCCTGCGTTATCACGCGGAACTGCTGCAGGCTGTTCACCGGAGCCGCTGCGAGGACGTTTGCGGGTTCTCGTGGTGAGCCGCGGTGCGTCTCTTTCGCTTCCGCGATTACGGGGCGACGGCCCGTGAGGCGGGCGAACGTCGCGTCGACTTGCTGGTCGAATCGCTCGTCAATGACAGGGTTGATAAACCGCGCAGGTAAAGTGAGCAGCAATAAGAAAGTACGATAAGACGATTTATGTAAAAGAGAACAGAATTTCGACGATATCAAAATCTTCCAAACTTTAAACCTTGCACGGGCAAATTTTGAAATGCTGCGAAGTAAAAGTACGGACGGAGAGAGAATATTATAGTTTTCTTATTTTTCATTTAAATTCTCTCCAATTGTACTATGCTCTCATAGAAACATTTTCTATGTTTATCCTATTGATCCATCCCTAGAATACAAAATTATATAGTAATTTTTCATATAAAGTTCTCTCCGTGTGGCTTCGTATTGATTTTCTGTTTATCTTTAAGCAATTCTCTCGAGTAATTTATTGTACCCTGCTTTTTTTCCGTGAATGGTACCATCATACCAGCAAATACGACGGAACGTTCGTCACGCGAAGTCACAATAACGGTTAGATCGCAAATACTGGATTGACGCGTGAGAAGAAGCTGCTTGCTGTACACATATAAGCCCACAAATGTGCATCTAAATTAGACGGATATTCCCAGTATAACGACCTCCCGCAATTGTGAGGCATATTTTATGTAAAAGTGCATTCGATTACGACAGATTTGTTACTTGACGTGCAACTCGTTATTACTATTACGACTACTGTCGCTTAAACATCGATGTGAAGAGCCAAAAAAGATATCTCATTACGAGATGCAGCTTAGAGTAATAAATTAATATTTTCTATTTCATAATTCAATCAAAATATCACTCAATTAATGTAAAAGCACCAATTCCCGGATACGTACCTAATTTCGGACATTCTTATTGTTTTAGTCTTTAAATACGAATATTTAAATTTTCAACATAGAATGCATGTGTATTCACTGAGAGAAATTATCCGATAAGAAATTAACAAACCAGTATTTCCGATTAAAATATCGATGAATCTTTATATCCGATCAGAAAACAACCGATGTGAAATATCGGTTTCATAATTTTTTTATTTCGGTTTATTTGATGAAATGCCATTATGATCAGAAGTATCCGATTAAATTTAATCCTAATTGTATATAAAAATTCATTGGTACTTTGATCGGTTTATCTGATCATTATGATCAGAAGTATTCGATTGAATTTAATCGAATATTCTAATCGGATATAAAAAAAACCATTAGTATTTTAATCGGAAATATCCGTTTGTTAATTTTTTATCGGATAATTTCTCTCAATATAAGAATTTCTCTCAATATAAGAATTAAAAAACATTCATTATATCCTAAAAGAAAACCTGCATTCCGAGATTTTTGCGTCAAGAGAAATAATTAAAATAAACAAAAGAATAATTATTCATTTCTTTGTGAGATTTCTATAAAGATATGTATCCTCGTTCGGGATTTTATTTCCAACACTCAATGTGTCGATGGAGCTGCTGCACTTCTCCGCGAGGTTCCAGGTAAAGTTACGTGGAGCCACCGAAGTGCAATATTTTTAGACGAAACTGTGTGCGAGTGTGTGTGCGTGTGTGTGTCAACCGTGAGGAATTCGCGAGCGCCGCTATAATTAAACCATCGGTTCGCGCTCCAGCGAAACGTCTATCCGCGAGGAGACCTTGGCAGCGCGTATTTCGAAAATCTAGGCTAGATACGCGCGTGATGAATACAACGGCCGATGCTGAGACAAGTCCCTCCGAAAAGAATATCGGCCATACGCCACGGAGACGAGAGAATTATATTCCCGGTGATCGCCGGAAACGGTGATTCCGCGCGCTCGCGCCCCGTTCGACTTCGACGCGACTTATTTTCGGGCTAATGCGCCACCAATGCACCCGAGCGCGAATTCTACTTTAGTCGTGAAAATAACTGCGCTCATCAATCCTCCTATGATTACATCCGCGATGCCGTTCTAAAAATTTTCATCATGTGTGTGAGAGAAAGACAGTTATTCCATTTAATAATCCAGGTCCTCTCTCATAACGATGGACAGTTGCCAATTGCGAAAGAGCGTTTACAGGAAGCTTCCCATAATTTAAGCAGTGAAGGGATTTTACAATATTGATTAGTTACATAAATAATCGACTACTGAGATGGACAAGTCGCCTAGTTTCTGATATGATACGATTTCACACAAACGAAATCTAATTTTATGTTACAGGAAATCATTCCACGAAACATGATACTTTGTACAAAGTGTCATGATTCAATTGAATATTTATAAAAAAAAGTTTCTTAATTATCAAGAAAACTAATAGAATGCCTTGTAATCATATTTTACAAGTAGCGACATATAAGGAAATGGAGGAAAAATAGGAATCGTACTCACTTGGTTCCAGACCATCCACTTTGACCTTGGACACATCCACGTGAGGCTGAACGTTGACCTTAATGGGACACTGAGGTACCTTAAGACCGCCGTAGTTGAGATTCACCGTGTAGTTTCCCGGTTGAGGCGGCATGTAATCCACGGTGTATGTGCCGTCTTCGTTGTCCGTCAACGAAATCGGAAGTTCGCGGCCTTCGGGACTCAGCATGCTAACGTCCAGTTTGCCGGGTCCAGCCTCGCGACAATCGACGTTAAAATGCGTTGGGGTGTTCGACTTCACGCCCTTCTCGAGGCCGGGACCAAACGCGGACACCATAGAGGGGTTCAAGGGCGAGGCTACCTTGACCCTGTAAGGGGATTTCTTCGTGGCTACTCCGCCATAGTTCACCTGAAGCAAGACATTTGCGTATGGAAAGCGTTAAATTAACATCTTAATTCAACAAACGTCTTTGATATTTCCGATTCCATTTAGGTATATTTTTTATTTCACGAATATGTGAACAACCATGGTCCAACATGGTCGAGGCTTTAGAAATCTAGGTTCAGGCCGTACCATCACGACATGTTGAGAGCTAGATGTAGGTGTATAGTGCGCTTGAACAGTTCCATCCCGCTTGTCGTCTAATCGGAGCGGAACCTCTCTTCCATAAGCATCCTGAATGGCAACTTCCAGAGCCGCCTGCCCGGCTTTTTTCGCGTCCACCGTAAAGTGCGTCGGCTTGTCCCTAGCAACGCCTTCTGGTTGAATTCCTGGCCCGTGAACCTCAACCTGTGGAGCACACATTTAATTCCACCATTTCCTTCTCATAGTTCAAATTGAAAGTCATTCATCAAGACGACATATTTTATTCCTCATTTTGATTGATGTTAAATTTATCAAAACCGATAATCTGATTTTCTGTAACGTTATACACATCCCTTCCTCACAGAATTTACCGTAAAAGATGCGGAAAACCTGGAACAACTTATACAAGAATTATACGAACATAAAGAAACTCGCCAGTAAAGCTTAAAATAACGTTACATCTACACGCGATACATTTAAACATTTATTCTGAATTTTGTTTTATCTATCAATAAAAGTATCTCTGATACTTATTTCTACCAACGTCGATTAAACTTTAATTTAAGTTTAATCTCTTCAAACAAAGACTTAAATTCAGATAAATTCAAAGTTTAATCGATGTTGGTACCCGTCTTGAAACTTTAGACCCTAACTTTCGACCTAAACTTTCTAACATCCGTATATACTGAAGGATCAAAGCATGTGTGATACACATGGAACCTGAAATCTTGTTTAGCGTCTCTAAATGGCAGAAAACGCACAAAATGCCACTTGTAAGTTCTGAAAAGGACCTCTCGGCAATATTTGGCGATTAAATAGAATTAAAAGAGCTTGACGTAGGTTTCAAAACATCAAAATAGGCATTAAATTGAATATTGAAGCCAAAAATAAGATCAAAATTTGGTTTTTGGTAGAAACGTACAAAAATCGAATCAGAAAGCTTATAAGTCACATTTAGAGATACTTTCATCGATGAAAGAGAGTTTAGAATAAGGATCAAAGTTGATCATAAGATACTTTCCTGAATTTCATTTATCTTCATAACATTTATGAGACTAAATCGTCTATGATGCATTGAACAATGTCAGAATAATAGCTTCATTTCCACTTCTTAATTTAATAAAAATACAATAAAACGTACTAGAGCAGTAAAGCTACAGATTTTAATTTACCTTTTCCGGGTCGAAGTCAGCCTTCGGCGAGATGTTAGCAATGTAGGGCGATTTGGGGATGTCTTCGTTATCACAGAGGATATGGATAGCGTACTGACCGGGCGCGGTGGGCAAATAGGAAACGTCGGCGGTTCCGTCGCCGTTATCGTGGCAATCTATCTTCGCCTTAGATGGGCCCTCGATGGAGAATCCGAGAGCACCGGTTTCGCCGTTCGTGTCCACTGTAAATTTTGCCGGATGACCGACGATGCCGCCGTACAGACCCGGCCCGAAGGCTCTGATGGTGGACTCCTTGTAAGGACCGACGTTGACCTCGAACGGCGACTTCGGGATCTCCTTGCCTCCGTATGTGATCATTACCACGTGGCGGCCTTCCTTGATCGGCGTGTAGTGACATTTGTAAGTTGTGGCATCGGTCTTGGACATTCTGCAATTTAATGCGTACAGGTTGGCATCACATTGCTCTCTGATCGAGGAGTGAATTTAGAACGACACAATCTGTCAGATCACAATTTCCTCAATTTGTATGCAAACTTACATAGACGTCGTATCTTTTATAATTTGTTTTTTATTTACACTGAGAAAAGAGAGCAGTTGGATCGGCAAAATCACTCGCTTTCAAAGAAATATCGTGTCTGTTGAGCAAATTATGCGTTAGTGCAACAATAAGTAGTAAATCGCTGCTATTGAATCAATTAATAACTCTCATCGCAACAACAAGATAATTTGTTCAATCGACTAAACGTTTGCTTGAACGAACAAAATTCGTTCAAGCAAAATCTCATTAACTCCATCACTTGCTTTTCTCAGTGTCATGTCAAACATTTCTGTGACGAAAGTTCCAATTAAGATTCTGTTAAAGCGAAGTTTAAAACGCAATTTAAAATAGAATGAAGGATAAAAAGGAATGAAGAGCAAATTACTATTGATTAATCCGTAAATTGGTAAGAGAAATTCAAACACTGTGTCATAAAAGCCAAGGAACATAAAGCTTCATAAAAATAACAAAAAAGAACTGACTCAATGAGTGAGTGAGTGAGAGAGAGAAAGAGAGAGAAAGAGAGAGAGAGAGAGAGAGAGAGAGAGAGAGAGAGAGAGAGAGAGAGAGAGCAAGTCAAAAACAATGAGATGAGAACTCACTGCACAGGTCGATTGACACCTCCCGGTGCGATCACGCGGATATCCGGCACCCCTTCACCGGCGTCTTTAGTGAGGACGACAAAATCGGCGACGTCTTGGACGCGAACGCCGGTGGGCAGCAGACCGCGTCCGTAGGCTCTGCATTTTTTCGCGTCAGAAACCGGCGCGATGTTGACACCAATCGGGTTTCCAGGTATGAGCTTGCCGGCGAAGAAGATATTGACGGAATGCAGACCCGTCACCGGCGACACGTACTCGCATCTCCAGACGTCTGGCGAGGTCTGACGCAGCTTCACCGGCACTGTAGCTTTGCCGCCCTACATTCACCGAGGATTAAATAAAAACGTGGTCTTCTCAAAAGCGCTTATTCAAAAGATCTGACACACGGAGAAAAATAATTAGCTGGCCCAGCAAATTTTCTGCTGGTCTAGCAAAATCTTTTTGTTATTATATGAACAGCAAAAAGATTTGCTAAGAGTACTAATCACTATTTGCTGGATATAATTTGCTGAATCTACAAATTATTTTTCTATAAGAACCATAATGGATTTATATAAGCAGTTGTAGTTTTGCTCCGTTAGCAAATAAATTTGCTAAGGATACACTATTTTGTATCAATAGTAAATTAACGTCATTCTTAGGACAAATACACTCAAAAAATTTGTTCTATCCTGACAACGAAAATACTTCTTCTCTGATAATAAATAATTTGTAAAATCAGTTACGTCAACTAAATTTTTTTAATGTCACTACGAATAGCAATGACGATTTTGCTAAAAGGGCAAAGTTATTTTTTTCCGTGCAGGATCACATAAGAAAAATCTATATATTTAAATCGTGTTTTTTATTTTAAAAATGATAAAATTACATAGAAAAACATTCAGATAAATATGTAATCGTCAAAAGTAAGTTACAATATAAAATGAGAAAAATTGATAACATTTTCATATAAGTTCAAATGTGAGAAATTAAAATTTTCGATAAAAATGATGAGCTTAGATAAAATCATACAGCTCCTTATTCTGAAATCTTTTTTATCGATAAAGTGCCTCTAAATGTAAAGTAACCAGATGTCTCTTTTTTTTTCGTCCTAGATTTTTCCAAGTGTAATCCGGAATAAATCAACGTCCCGGATTCGGCCGTCTCAGTTTATCTCGATTCAGAAAATTTTTTAAATACTTCTGATAAAAAAAGTTTTTCTCAAGAAAGCCTACAATCCTAGCAGTAACTTTGCTTCTCCTTATTAATTTTAAGTAAGAATAACAAAAATTTTATCTTAGCAATAATTTATATTTTTACCGTGGCCTTCATTAATAAATTATTTACTTAAAATATTTTATATATACTCTGAGAGAAATTACCCGATAAAAAATTAACAAACGGATATTTCCAATCAGATTCTGATCGATTTTCATATCCGATCAGAATATCTAATTAAATTTTATCGGATACTTTCGATCATAATGGCATTTCATCAGATAAAAAATCAGATAAACGATCAAAAAATTATGAACCGATATTTCTCATCGGATATAAAAATTCATCGATATTTTGATCGGAAATATCCGTTTGTTCATTTTTTATTGGATAATTTCTCTCAATGTACTAAATGTAGCTTATAAGCCTTCTGATTTGCTTTCAGTCACATTTAAAAGTACCTTTATCGATAAAAAAGAGTTCAGAATAATGACTATAACATTTCAGTGAGATTTTTAGGTGTTTCTATCAATGCTTATCGGAATTTTTAAAGCAGACTAATGTTAGAATTCTACCTGCGGGTCCAGGATGATGACCTCCGGTACACCGCGGCCGGCGTCCTTCGTGAAGATGTCGAAGAAAGTGGGTCTGTTGATCACGACGCCTTCCGGTTGCAGGCCAGGTCCGCTCGCGGTGACCTTGCTCGGATCACCGGCGTGGCCCTCAACGTTGACAGTGTACGGGCTCTTCGGGATCTCTCTGCCGGCGAAGAGCACCTTTACCTTGTGCGGGCCCTCCGTCCTCGGCGTGTACGACACCGAGTAGGTCAGATTCCTGTCCTTGTTGAATCTGATATCGACCTTGAAAACACAGTCGTATCTTCAAGATAAACATACGGTGCAATAAGTTATTGGACACATTAAATAGCGACGACGTTCGTTCAACTTGTGGCACGTCGCTCAGAATAGTTCGTCTATCGCCGCACGCTACACGAATAGCTGTTACGTCACACGTGTCCACGTCCTGTGGCGTAATTATTCAGAGTGTGCGATAAATATCTCTCGACTTCCGTAACAATAGGCGCCATTAACACATACACACATATCCATTAGATATTAAAACGGCGCACAGGTTGCTCCGTCTGGTTCACGACAAATCTTTTAAGTCTGTTTCAATTGTAATTAATTTGAAAATAATGTTTGACCGTACAATTAAATTGAGTTTAAAATAAGTTTATTTGAATGCCGCTTTCGACGACTTTCGATTATCTCGCAAAACAAAATAAAAGAAATTGTAATAAGTTTCTCAATTAAATCAACGATAAGATAAATTTCTTATTATTATCAGGTTTATTATATCATCTTTGTTATATATAGTTATTAATTGGAAATTTCATGAGACACTTAAAAGGTTAATAACTTTTAATTTATACTAATCATTTTAAGAAGTATTAACTTTTACCTATTAACCCTTTTTTATATAGATTGAAACATTTCATCAATATTAAAATTATTGCAAATTTTACAACGTAGAAAAATGTTTTAAATATTATCAGAATTTCTTTTCGTTTCTTTGAACGCCAATGTTATTTTCTTGTATGGAATTTTGAGCACAAAACACACAGTAGTCAACATTTTTTCTTATAAGCAACTACCTTATTTAACATAAATTTAACCTATAATTAAAAAGTTAGTCACGCCAAAAACATATGTCGCTTGGTATAATTAATTTTTAATTTTAAAACTTTAACTTTAATGTTAACTTCAACTTTAAATCAATGTTAACTCAATAAAGATAATTTTTGTTGTGTAACTTTTAATTCAACTATTAGTTAATTTTATAAGTAATTAATTTTAAACTTGGCTTAAAAAATATGAATTTATTACTGAATATTACATATTAAATATAAATATTAAATATTAACCTGATTTTGAATATTATAGCATACTGATTGCTCCTTACCGGTAGCTTGTTCCCTTTAGAATCGTCGACAGTGACATCGACGTTGCCCTTGCCAGCCGAGAAGGTCTCCACGGTGAAGTTGGCCGGCGCGCCGACAATCGGGCCGTTCGGTTCTATACCGGGACCATAAGCGCGTACTCTGAGCAGGAAAACAGCGTGAGAAAAAGACGACTCAGCGTGCCGAGCCGGCGGCCGCAAAACCTTGTTGTTACATCAATACGTTAAGTAAATCCAAGTTTGCCAGACGGTTACAAGCGTTGCTTTGTGCTACGGTGATTGCGCGACTCGCCGTTTCTCTCTAAACAAATTTGCAAGCGCGATTCTCTGCAAACTGCTCGCGGCCACTCGCCAGTCTATCAGTTAGTTCCAATTCGGCTTCTCGTGAAACCCTCGCGGTATGTACACGTGTATATACAGAGAAAGTCAAATTAATGGCATTACGTGGAAGAAGAAGAAGAAGAAAAAAAGGTTCTATCTATCCATCCGCAAAAAGAGCACGTAGAACGGAGAATGAGTGCAATTACGATCAAACATCGTCGTATTCTCCTCAACAAATTTGCAATTCGTGAATTCGTCAGCCGCTCGCAACTACTCTGGCTCATTTGCTCTATCAGGCGTTCATGTACACGTGTATGTACAAAGGAGCGATTAGGAGTGTGTCGGCTGGCACGGGGTTAAGAGGTGGATCTCTCAAATGCTACGGCCAAGGCAACGGACAAATTAATTGCGCAAAAATACGTTATACGTCAAAACATGATCATTGCGCGACTTACCGCGGCGGGGGGATGCTGCGACCGAGAAAAATGAAATAAATTGATTAATTAGACAGTAACCATATCAGTGGAAACTACGCGCACCTCTCATACACTTCTACTCGCGTATTGCTCACCGACACGAAGAGGAACGGTCGCTTTTTTATTATTCTTTCTTTGTTTTGCAGCATACGACGTTCTTTACTTAGTGGTACTTTATACATGAACTTTAAACGGAAGCATACGCGATAGTCGAGGTGAGAAGTGATAAATATTTTATATAAATGAAAATCAACGAGGCAAAAATTAAAAAAAAAAATTGCTTAGTGCGATTCTTGTAATCTTATATAAAAATATTGTTTAGCAATTTTCATATTTAAATGCTCGATTACTTCTTTACTTCGAACTCATCTCGGAGATCGATGATTGAGAATAGTCAATTAGAATAAAATGTATAGAGGAAAGTTTCAACGCGATAAATATATATTGTATAAACGCTCGCTTATTTAAGTGCTAGCGAATATCTTCCAAGTTTCTTGAAAAGACAAAAAGTATGAAGCACGTTCTCGCAATAATATTTCGAAGTGACGTCCAAACAGTCAGCGTGCTTACCTGTTTGGATTCGTGCGAGGGCGCAGAGGAGCACCTGACTTCAATTTCGCATTGGGATATTGAGACAAGTACGTCATCATTGACATCTCGTCGATGTTTGGGTTAACCATTTCCTCAGGTTTGATGAGCTACAAGAATATGATTAAAAAGTTATTATTTAATATAAGATCTTAAAGACAATCTATTTCTCAATTCACTGCTCTATTCTATTTTTCTTTCATGTAATAATCTCTTTCTTCCTTTCAATATCAACATCTTCAATATTAAAATGATAATAGAATGACAATTCAATTTAATTTATTGGTATTAAAGAAGACTGAGGTTAGATATCCCATATTCCAAAATTTCGAAGTTCAACTTCTCAAACAACTAATTGTTATGATTAATTGTACAAACATTACAGCTTTCTTGTTCTGTGCTAATGTCTGCCATGATTCTGTTTATCGTATATTTTGTATTAACCAAGATACAAACACGCATCAACGCAATAGCGCAAAATAAACAGGGCTATATATAAAATAGTTCTCTTTAGCTGAATCTGTTCTCTTTAGCTGAACTGCCTGAAATCGTGCAGACTGAATCGGTGCAGTGAAACAATATATTGTTTCCCTCTAACTTATCGCATTAGTTCAGACAGTTCAGCTAAAAAGAACAAATCTAATATGTATCTTGATTCATAGTTCTAACATTTCCGCGAGAGATCTCCACTTTGCCGGCTCTTAAATATAGGCCAACTTTACTTTGTCCGTTCAAATATTCGATTTCAATCATTTTATTATATATATACCAATATTTTAGTATAATCCATCTTGTGCAATACTGGCAATTTATTTATTATTATTTATTTATTTATTATTTATTTACATTTTATTTATAACCAATATTAGTTATATTGGCCCAATGTATGCCAATATAACCAATATTGAATTAATGTAATGCCAATGAACTATACTACTGATAGAGAACGTCTCAATTTAGACAAAAGCATGATATACTTGTGCGAATTTACTGTATCAAATAAATTTTAAATAAAAATTCGCAACGCGTACCTGAGGAATGTTAAGCCAATCGTCAGCAAGGCCCATAGCTTCTGACGCGTTCTGCACCGCATCCTTGGGGTTCCAGTCTTGCCAGTCAGGGCAGAGACCAGGTGCAACCGCGTCAACGAGAGCGCCCACCGCGCGGCCGTCGTTCCAGTCGGAAGTGAAGTTTGTGATTGGCAGATCCGGCACTTTCGACTGAATCCAATGCATCAGTCTCTGCTTCGGCGTGGCACCCTTGTCTTCGCCGTCGTCGCCATCCCACATGGGCATGGAGATCGAGTAGTGCAGAATCAAAGTCCATATCAGGCCGAGAATCAACTTCAGTTTGCAATCTACGATGTCCGACGAATCTGCGATATTGAGAAAACAAGAAATTAATAAGTCGGTCTTTTTTATTAGCAGCTGGGCCGTATTCAATAATTAAAAGGAGCAATTGAGTTATTCAGGAATTGAATTCTAGATATTTTGGGAAAATTGAAACACGCGTTTATCATACACGTGATATTTTTTTAAAGGACTTTTTTTAAAGAATTTCTTTAAAGGAGATCCGTTAAAAGTACTTCTTGCAGAAATGGATTCGCGAAAATGAATATATTATTTGCACTGCGACGTTATTAGCGATATTAGAGATTGTTAGCAGTAAATCGCAACATTGTAAACAGAATGTTTGTCAGAACGAGCAATTTCCCTGTTCACAGAAAAGAATTAATGTTTCGCACAGCCCCGTTTCTAAATTGTATACACTACTATTAGATAGATCACGAGTGAATCATTGGCCACGACTCAAAAGAGCTGTGTTTATAAATTTTTCTGATCCTGCGTTTCTTAACAACATTTGGCAGTGCCAAATTAAGGAAAAATTGTTATCCGTTAATAATGTGCAATATAATATGACGCGTTTATACGCATAAATATTATAATATTTTGATAATATTCAATTATCCTATAGTATTGCAATATTGGCATGAATTTCTTTCAAGTACAATTAGTATATTCCTCACTGAAATGCTGCACTTATAACTAGTGATTCAATTTATGTATCAGTATAATATCGTTAAAATAATCAGTTAATAGTGATGACTGTTATACAAAAAAAAAAGAATATTCTTCTTTGGAGAATATTATTATTGTTGATATTTTAAAAATAAGATTAACGTTAAAATGACCAACAATATTGATATTCTTGCTTATATATGAGAAAATGATTGTGTTAATTTGACTATATTCGCTTTAATTGAAGATTAATAATATATAACTAATATTAATATCGTAATATTCTATGAGAAAATAATTGTGTTAATTTGATTACATTCGTCTTGATTAAAGACTAATTTATCTTCGTTCAATGTCATATAATCTTATTTTAACATTAATCTTATTTTTAAAACGGTACACAGAAGTTATTAGTTCCATTTATATTTATATATGATAGATTTTGCAATCTTACTTTCAGAATTGGTGAGATATAAAATAGAGCAGTAAGTGCTCACTGATTATCAGTGAAATACTCCTTTTACTGATTTAATCGGAAACATTTTTGTTTTTAACAGAGTAAAGTGTATAATCTGAGATGTGATAATCTTAGATACAAGCAATATCACATGATAACAATTTATCTTGATTCTCTAAAATGAAAGCGAAAAGAGAAAAGAGGGAGAATTTAGGCAAAGAGTTAATTTTTTATGTAAAACTTCAAAATGTAATTCTCTCCATCTTTTTAAATATGTTTCGTTTTAACAATTTATGAAAGTACAATTTTTTTATTCGCGAGCAAGTAACGTGCTTCCTTTCGCGAAGAAATTCCGTTAATTATTCCTTCCTGTTGCGTAAAGCCTCATTGTTCACCCTTAGATCGATCACCGCTCAAGTATTCGACGTGAGTAAGAGGCGAGTGGGCGCTATTAGAGAAACATTTTTCCGCGTCGCGTTTATGGAGCTGAGGCGACGTAGTCTTTGACAATGTGAATTTTCAAGCGATGCTAATGAAAGCCGCGATGTGCGAGTGTTTGCGCAACGAAAGCGCTAATAGATACCCGCGACGTGCGGTGATTCACGCATTGAGCGATCGCCAGACGATCGTAAATACCTGCAGGTCCTTCGAATTTCGCGCGGTATCAATTATGATGACTGCTGGCACACAACCATATTTTGTCGGAACAGACGCGTTGTGAAATGCATATAAACGATTAATATTTCGCGAGGATGCGAAAATTTTGAGCCAAAGAAAATAATCGTATCGATCTCTTACATGTATAATAGCTTTCATATAAAGATCTCTTTCATCAATTTTAATAGCCAATACTGAAACTTCGTTTCAGTAGAGTAAGCAAATCTTCATTGACAAACGACCACGCACAATGAAGGCATTTACGCGACAAGTATTTGTCTTCCGAGATTAATGACAGCTATATACAACGGAAAGTTTTAATTTACCACCTCAGTGACGGTATCAGAAAATATTAAGTTTTTTAGGATCAAAATAATTGTAACAGATGAAGATGTAATAATGGAAGATTTTATAATTACCTACGTAATTGTTATAATTCACTAATGAATCATAAACAATGAAATTATAAAGTCATGAAATAACCGATAATGTTTTAAAGTCTTAAAAATAAAATATTAATTTCTCTTTCTATGTTATTAAGCCACGTTATTAAAAGAGAAAAGTTCTATTTTACCCGAGATTAATCTTATTAATAATCCTCTCGCGTAAATTTCTCTACTACAAGAAAAATCATTTCGTTAGAATCATAATGATAGAGAGCATTTTTTTCGACACTAATCTCCTCGACGTATCCTTCACCAGAATAAAAAAAGAGAGACTCTGCTGTAGATCTCTCAAGATTAACGCCAACGATGCACTCGGCCGCGCGAATTTAGTTGAACGCGAGTCACCGCGGATATTTTTGGCGTCCAACGGCATTCGACATTGTCTCACCGTTGACGAGGTGTTGTTCCTGTGACGGGGAATCGCCACCAGTGACGATTCATCCAGACTATTTTCAGCAATTACTGAGAGCTACCAAGTGATGTCAGCAAAAACGTAGTTAACAGCGTGACACGCGAACCGGCTAAGCGCCAGCTAATTCACCCTGTGTGACGCCTCCGAGACGAGCTCCCGAGATTCTCAAGCGTTCACTTGGTCTGCCACCCACGTAACGTCAACGGCTTATCCATGACGAACAATCTGGATCGTTAAACGCCTGATTTATTATACAAGATATTTTTTCTCTAGCGCGAGAATAACTGATATATTATCTTGATATCTTTACTCTGATATATATATATATATATATATATATATATATATATATATATATATATATGACATATATAACAAATAAAATATATATAATAATAAAATAATGATGCTCTAACATAAATAAGTACTTTATTATTCTAATTTTTCACCATAAGAATAACGAAGTGCTCTAACAATAATAACAAAAATTACAGAAAATAAGTGTAACACTAAAATAAGTATGTAACACAGAGAGAAATATTTCTTTGGATGTAGTATTCCTGTTCGCTTGATTTGTTTGATTCAACATAATAATTTTATGTTAAACAATATAATTTTGTATCAAATATCATTTTGTTTCGATAGATTGGACCACGTTGTTTGATGGAAAAAATACTATTATTGAAAGAAAATTTTCGAACAAATAATTTGTTTGATTACATTGTAAATTATATTTTGTTAGACTAAATTATATTATCTGATTGAAAAGAACTATTATCTCTATTACCTAAAAAACTTATTATCAAAATCAGTTTTTAAATAAGTATACAATTACGCAAAAAGCAGCGACAATTTTTTATCATGCACGCGTTTTCGTATCTTGTAACGTTACCTGCGCGACGTAACAAGCGTAGGTAACAGGCGTGAAAAAACGACAGAAGAAACTGAGACGCTCTCCTTTTGTTTGAACATTCGGAATGGATACCCATTGTCGAGTCTCTCCTTTGAGTCGCAATTCGCTTGACCGCAATGTAGAAGTGCACTCGTGAGTGCACGAACAAGCAGCGGAGAAAGTTACAACACGTGACGAGACATGCTCAAGCCAACATGAGATGCAGATTTTTGAGACGGATGAATTTAAGCGCTCCGCTATTCTCCTTCTTCCTTTCAGATGAGATTGAATTAAATCAAATTTTCATTTTAATTAGCTCTTAATGGCCCTATATGGATATTTCGAATCCGAGCGGTTTCTACTCATAGAAATTTCTCAGCACGTTGAAGGGTCCCGGATTTTCTATCCCTCCTAAAAAATGTACAATAAAGTACAGATATTTGTTCTAGAAACTTGAAAGTATATCCGTGAATTTTTATAGATTTTTCAAACCACTTTAAATATATGATAAAAGAACCAGACGCGAAAGACTCATGTAGGGCCGCATGTGGTGTCGTTTTTCATATAAATCAATAAGGATTAAATTAATTATTTTCCATAACGCGACTAGACGAAGATACGAGAGAACTAGGATTGAACAAATGGCGCATTGCTTTCCGTATTGCATCCGCGCGTAGTAATTCGCTCGGCAGTGTCTTCGCATCTTAATGAGCAATAAAACCGGCTAGACCAATTGCATTCCTCGTGATACTATGTAATAGACGTATTTGTTTCCAGCGCTATAGATCTTCATAGAGAATGATAGTTAGACATGATCACTTGTGCTTGTAAGCCAATTAATTGTTTACGCCAATTAGCGTAATACATCGACAAACGTGAAGGCAATTTTATGATGTCTTATAAGATAATAATTTACGTTGTTAGTATTATATATTATATTAGTATTATATATTATATTAGTGTTATATATTATTACACAGAAAAACCATTCTTGTTTGAAAAATATCTTTACCTTTGGGATGTTAATATTTAAATGAGATTACATAACGTTAAACAAAGTTACTTGCAAAAATATATTTTATATGATTCAAAGAAAGGTATTCTTATTACTCAAAAATAATTTTTATTAAGCACAAAATATTGGATGGAGAATGTTTTTCAATATGTGTTATGTCCCAGATGCTCCTATTTATTTAAAATTAATATACTCAAATCATTGTTTCATATATGACAATCATTATTCTGACATACATGAACAATCATTATTCTATATATAAGCAACGAAATATAATTTTGTTAGAAGAATTTTAAAATCTTGAATTTCAATAATGTTATTATTTTATTTAAATATTATAATAGTTTCACAAAAAATGCAATATGATTATTCTGACAATAATGTATCTCTCTCTCTCTCTCTCTCTCTCTCTCTCTCTCTCTCTCTCTCTCTCTCTCTCTCTTTTTCCGACATTTAAAAATATCATTCTCAATTCGAT